TATACCTGATATACCACTTATACCTGATATACCGTTTATACCTGATATACTTATCCTTATAATTTCCTATCATCTACCTATCATTTTTCCCTACAACAATATAATATATAATATTTTTATTTTTATAAATAATTATTTCAAGGTATTTTTTGATATCAGTAATAAGGATATCTAGTAAGGTATATAAAGATTTAATTGGTTGATCCTCAAAGAATAAAAACAAGTTTTTAAAGTCTTCTAATTTTTTAAAAAAGAAAATTTTTTTATTTTCTACTTGATAATTTTTTTCAAATAGAAGATTTTAAGAAAGAGTTTTTTTTTTTATTTAAAATTTTTATAAAATAATTAATTTTATTTTAATTTAAATTTATAAAGTTAAAAAATTTAATTGATGTTTTTTTTTATAAAAAAAAACTTAATAAAGTTTCAAAAATAATAAATAATCTTTTAATATCGGATATTAATAAAAAATCAAATCAAAATAAAAAATTTAAATATAAATTTATAAATATTCAAAACATATTTTTTTTATTTTATAACAATACAAAAAAGTTATTTTGAATTAATTTAATATTAAAATTAAAATATATGTATATAAATTTTTAATATATTTTAATACTAAAAAATTCTTGTAATTTTAAAATATTGTAGTTTTTAAATAATTTAATCTATTAATTTATTATTGAATTTAAAATTATCATTTATTAAATTACAATTATTGTATTTATTGATTTTATTGTATTGTAAAAAAAAATATCATTAAAGGTTTATACGTTTTTAATAATACTTGTATGTAATTTACAGTATATATATATTGTATATACAGTTTACCCTCGCTATAATGGATCTGTCGAGCTGAAAAAATACCTGTATATTGTATCTGCTATACAGTATATTGTACGTATAATATATAGTATATTTATAGATTTTTTGAGAATTAAAATTGCCAGAAAATTTTGCCTGTTTTGTATAAATATTACGGTTCTTGTACATCTGTTATCACGTTGTAAAACATCCCACCACAGTTGGAAATGTAACCACGTTTTACCCGAATGAGTTCGTGACGTAAATCAATACATCGCTCTCGCATATGTACAGTTTATTTGTTACGCAATATTGGCTAAAGTCACGTGAGATGTTCGAGGTGGGTGTTTATCGAGAAACTTTCTCCAATATTCTGATATCCTAAGTATTCCTTCACGAATTTTACCTGTAATATAATAATAACATATTAAAAAACATAATGGAAATTTGGCTATTGTATTTAAATTCCATAATTTTTACTATAATTATATATAAACTTCATAGTCAAATAATGACAATAGATTGACGCAAGTTATTTAAAAATAAAATTCTAAAATTAACTGATTTGCCCAAATATTAAATCTCGTTTGTGTGCTAAATTCTTGTATTGATGGGTAAATACAGTATGTGGATACTCGAATTATTAGATATCACAAAGAAGTCTTTGTATAAGACCTTTTGTATGGAGAATAATAAGGATAGCAATTACATTGACATTAAAGAACTGCAACATATTTCCTAATACAGAATAGATAATGTAGGGTGGCGTGATTATGGCGGTGATCATCATCTTTTTAAAAATATTACGTAGACACTACGAATTCTAATGTTTGTGCTAGATCTTGTGTTCAAAAAGATGTAACATTGTTTTTTCTAATAACACTGAATCCAAAATTGGAAGATCTTCTAATTGGTAGATTTTCTTTGTGGTTTTAGGGTTTATGAAATTTTAACCCATTTACGTTAAGAGGAGTTTATATGTAGAAACATCCACTTATGTATTTAGAACGATGGGAAGTAGGTTATAACTCCCCAATTGGCAATGTTGGTCGTTTACGTAATGATATATACAATAATTTACAGGAGGCTAATGGCCCGGTGCTTTGGTTCAGACAAAAATAAATGCTAATGTCATATCGACGTAAAATGAATTGAACGTGGATTTTTTTCTGCAAATATAAATACCCGTCTTTAATGTCCGAGGAAGTCTTATTTCGTCAAATTACACTTACCTTTAAATAAATATCATAAGATGAAATTTATTTTTCTTACTATTTTAGCGCTCTTATTTCTTAACATATCCAGCAATGACGCATTACTAGGTAGAAAACATAATTTTTACTATTCTCGGTATATAATGGTAATAACAATAGTATTTGTTTTCAGTTAAACGAGATAACAGTAGCTCGATGGGAAGTTGGGAAGAAGTCGGAAGGTAGAACAAATATTTAATTATCTTTTATGTAAAACGAATTCTTATTTGGTTGGATTTCCAACTATAGGACTGGAGTATCCGCTATGCACATCACGTTGATACAGCCCACCAAAATTCTTATTATCGATAAAGGTAACTTGATCGTAAGCAAGGTAACTCTTGCAAGTATCTGCACTCTTACTCTCTCCAGTTCATTGTATATAAACTGACGATTTTTAAAATAATAGCTGAAAAAAATCCTGATGCTGTATACCCCGATGGAAGGTTCGCATTCACTACTGAATACGATTTAAAAACAAATACCTTTCGTGTTCTCACCCTATCGACAAATACCTTTTGTTCCGCCGGCTCCTACTTGGCAAACGGAACATTGATCGAGTCTGGTGGTGCGGAAGACACAGTGCGTAATATATACATGAATATATTTTTCATACTTTATCAACATGCATGTAACATGCAAAAATAATTTGATCCGTAACCTCACAGTTTGGTGCTGCGGCAGGATTTCAATCAGTTCGACTGTTCACACCTTGCGATTCCAGTAGCAATACTTGTGATTGGATGGAATTTCCCCTTTATCTTGATTCAGCTAGGTGGTATAACACCATGACTTCGTAAGTACATTCATAAAATTCTGAATTAATAAAAAAAGTTTTTTTAAAAAAAAAAAAATCCGAATTTGATCAATAGATTACCAGATGGTAGAATTTTCAACATTGGGGGGTCAATAAAAGCAGTTGCAATCAACGAGAATAATGTCTCGAACCCTACATACGAATTCTATCCAAAAGAGGGTAAGAGCATTCCTATTCAATTTCTTCTGAATACGTGAGTATAAGCTATTTCGTAATTTGTTTTATGCTTAATTAAAATCACATTTTGATGTTAAAATTCTATCCAAATAAAGAATGCCATACAATCTCTATCCAGTTGTCATTGTGCTTCCTGGCCCACCAGAACAAAATTGGCTCTACATGGCAGCAAATAGAAAAGCTCAAATCTGGGATTATGTGAAGCAAACTGTTGTAATGACTTTACCGGATATTCCTGGTGGCCCGCGTACATATCCATGTACCGGAACATCCACTCTCTTACCCCTTCGTTACGAAAATAACTATAAACCAGAAATAATAGCTTGTGGTGGTAGTGCCGAACCTTTTGCCCCAGATTCGGTCACCGACAAGGATTGTGTAAGACTTGATTTATCACAAAAAAATCTTAGTTGGGTTAGTGAACCATTTGGTGACCTTCCCACAGGACGTCTCATGTCTGACGTTATACATATGCCCGATGGGAAATTATTGTTTTTAAATGGTGCCGGTCAAGGTTACGCCGGATGGGGTAAGCAATTTTGTAATTTATCGTAATTTTAGTTTCCATCATTGAACGCTATTTCATTAATTTCCAGATAAGGGAACACCTACAGATAGACTTCACGTAGCTAGTAACCCTATCAAGACTCCTCTTCTTTACGACCCGAATGCTCCTTTGGGATCTCGATTCACCAAAATGGCTGATGCCAAATACGTTCGTGTATATCATTCAACCGCCATGTTAATTCCGGATGGTAGAGTGTTTGTTGCGGGAAGCAATCCAAATGGTGCTTATTGTGATAATTGCGAATACCCGACCGAGTAAGTATAATGATGATACTATTATAATAATTATCTGTTGTTATTAATGAAATATCAAATTAGGTACCGTGTGGAGATTTTCACTCCCCCCAATCTATTAAATGGCGTTCCTCGCCCAACTATCAAAAGCGTTGCCGGTTTGTCTACCTTTAATACGCTCACTGCCATTTCCGTCACTTACGGGCAAACAATAACTGTATTAGTGGATTTAAACGACAATTCACCCACTTTTACGGCCGCCATAATTCATAAAGGTTTTATTACACATTCTCAACATATGTCTGCACGGTACGTGAGTCTCAAGGTAGAAAGTAAGATACCTACGAAAACGGGATACGCGATCGATGTCACTTTACCACCAAATCCTAATATAATGCCACCAGGCAGACATATATATCTTTATGTGTTGAATAAGGGAACTCCGGCCGACACTGGTGTTGAGTTGAATCTTCAAATTAAAACTTAGAAAATGTTTATAGAAACCATGATTGGTAAATAAAAAAAAGTATATTAATTGTGTTGTTTGTGTTTATCATATATGATAAATTCTTTTTAAGATGTATAATCGGCAATATGTTCCGTGCACGTTTGCATTGCATTCATATCATGTAATTTCTTAATTTGGTGATTTACGTCCACCTTTCGTAGCTTCTTTATTTGAATCGTTTAAAAGCGACAAATTATCCAACATCCATTGCCAAAAATAAAAGGTCATGGGGTAAAATGGTAAACAAAAATAGTCACATCAAATCAAGCAAATTGAAATAACCGAGTTACATAACTCCTTATTTCCATTCAAATTTCTTTTAAACATATTTCCAATTGCTATATGTTTGCTGTATAGATTTTTGACATTGATGTTATTAAATTTCTTCATATTAGATATCAATTATTTTCAAAATCCAACATGGGTTCAACTTATTATCTTTTAAACTGTTCTATTATTATTTTTTTTCATATTGGTGATATACTATAATATAAAATATTAAAAATGCATTAGTTTAATATATTTTATTTATCGAGTTTTAAATGTTTTTTTTCAAATAAGCTTATAAATACTTGAGTAATATAATACAAGTATAAATAAAAAAAAAACAAATATACAGAGGGTGGATAAAAGTTTATGGACAACTTTTTTTTTTAAAAATAAAATTTAATTTAAAAACTAATTAAACTTTTTTGATAAAAATATATTCAATATATAAGTGTAACATATTCAATTTATAAAAATGTATCATATATATACTGTATATAATTTTTTTTTTATTTACCTAAAAATTTCATTTCAATTTTCATGTAATTGCTAATGCCTACTAATAAAGAATTAACTTCTGAACAAAAAGCAGTCATAATTTATAGTTATAAAAAAAATATCTATTGTAATATCACAGCCAATATCAGATGCAAAAAAAGTGTAGTGGATAACATTATAAAGCATTTTATTGAAACTGGATCCACAAAATTGAGAATGTGATAATCAGAATGACTACAACCCCTTAATAAGCATGCTCATACCACTTTCAAAAACTTTTTACTGACAAAAAAGAGTAATAGATATGTTATTGTTACAAAACCAACCAATCTTTTTATAGCCAAAATGAGAATCAAAGTATCTAAAAAAATCATCTGTCAAATCCTATATGAAGAATAGTTAAAAAGTTGTATTACCTGTTCCAAGCCTTTTCTTTTAAAAAAAAATATTAAAGACTGACTTACTTAGTACCTTACATATAAAGACTAGACCATTAAAAACTTTAAAAAAGTAGTTTGAAGCAACAAATCTATATTTACTTAATTCCAGCAGAGAAGTAAATATCATGTTTGATATAATCCATATAAAAAATAGAATACTGAATGCTTTTTTGCTACTGTAAACCATAGTTCAAGTCATTTGTATTGGAAGAATTTTTTATAGTTCAATATTGACCCTCTTGTTTCTTTTTGCATCTTGGTTAAAGATAAGAAAAAATTAGTTTATTAAATAAAAAAAAAATTAGACTTATTCTTTTTCCTTATAGTGAAATCATACAGTATATCACAACTTTTCAAAATTATCTTCTATTAGCTCTTCAAAATTTCGATAAAACTAATTGGAATTATAGTGGCCACTCTTGGTTTTAATATGATAATGCAAGGCCATATGTTATGAAAATTATAAAGAAGTTTCTTGCTATAAAAATATTTAAGTTATGAATTGACCTTCTCGAAGTTCAGATTTTAACCTAATCAAAAATCTTTGATATTATATTAAAGTTTGAATTTACAAAGCCAAATCTAATAATTTAATAGAACTTGAAAATTATATTTTAAAATATTGAAATAAGATCAATTTGACATATTGTAAACAATTGATCAAGAATATATCATGTTATATTATAGCTTGTATTATAGCTAAAGAGAGGCTATAAAATATTAAAAAATATATAATTAGCTATGTAACATCAGGAAATTTTTGAGCAGAGAAACTTCGTATATCTCTGTATATCTTCGCCGTCATTAAAGATCTCTGGAAAAACAAAATATATATATATAAATTTTAAAAATCTCTGAAAAATTATTTTTTTCAAAGATTATCAAAAGTTTTCACAAATGTTTGAAATATTTTAATAACTTTCGAAAACCTTTGATAATCTTTGGAGAAAATAAATTTTCAGAAATTTTCGAAATTTATATATATTTTTTTGATTCTCCAGAGATTTCTAACGACAGTGAAGATATGCAGAGTTCCTCTGCTCAAAAAATTTTCTGATAAAATATTTATAAATCAATAGTATATAAATTAATAATAAAAAAATGTGTAATTAAATATTTAAAATAAAACAATTTTTTTTAAAAAAAAAAAAAAACTCTCACCCATTCACCACTGATTTCTTGAAAATTTCCTTATATGGTAATTTTCTTAAAAGAAGCGCTTTCCTTTCTCTCTTCAATATGCCAACTATGCCATAAGCTCAAGGATATAAGGACTTTAAAGACTACTGTTGCATTGGGATAGGATCTCTGGTCAAAGGCTAAACAAGTTTAGGAGTCTTGTTTATTCTTTGATTGCATGGGGAAAGGCCTGTGGCAGTCCTCTTTCTTAACTTTGTCTTTATGCACCTCCTTCTTTATTACTTTCATAATAACCATCCTCCTCACTATCCTCAACATTGCCAATTTTCTCCTAAAAGTACATTCAAGTAAAGTTTTGGGTTCTCCTACTTGTCTCAATCAAACTCTTCCAAACAACAATATAGTACGCTTTACTGCACCACCTTAACAACTTCAAAATTTTTTTCAAAATCAAAAACCAAAACCAGCTCAACCCTTCCAAATGATCTACACAATCTCAACGGCCAATCCAACTTTGACACCCCAATTCAACAAGAACCAAACCGGTTTTAACCTGTTAGGAACGACAACAACAACAACATCATCATACAAAGACTTAACAAAAACTTACCAAATCAAGACTAAATTCCTAAAAATCTTCTATACTACTAAAAAAATATTCACACCTGCCCTAACATAAAAATCCTAACGATTCTATTCGATTCTGTATTCGATTCTCAAGTTTATATTAAATTTAATAGGTGGGGTATACCCCACCATCATTTTTAATAGTGTTCCGAACCTCATGCGATTCTGTTCGATTCTATTCGATTCCAATTTTCGGAACCATACCCTAACATCATCGTTTTGAATAGGCATTAGCTATTCAACACTACTAGTATGAACCCACCCACCTGGTAACAGTTGGTACTATTAGTTAGTTGTGATAGGCTAGGATTAATTTACAGTTTTCTAAATATATAAAGATTCTTAATGTAATGGCTATAAACTCTCGTTTAATAAAAGTCTCGCATTTAATGCCTGTTTGCAATTAAAAAAAAAAAAAAAAAATTCATTCTATATTTAACATCCTTCTTAACAAATTTTGATTCTATATTTAAACCCTCTTTATAACATTTTAGTTTCAAATTATCTAAAATAAAAATATACTTTCCAAAGTTTTTTTGATAATAAGATTAATTATTGCTCTTTAATTTATAGTTTTAGTAATAAATTTTAAAATAAGATATTTATATTAGATATAAATGGTGAAAGATTAATATTACTAAAAAATTATTTTGATAATAAAGATAGTTGTTGTTTTTTAGCCTTTAGTTCTAGTGATAGATTCAAATAAAAGATTAATACTATATGCAAATAATAATAAAAAAAAATATTTTTATATGGTTTAAGTTTAGTATAATTTAAAATTAATACTAGCCATACTTGTTATATATAGTCAAACCTTTTTATACTGATATGCCTGGATCAGATCATTTGTATCGTTATAATCAGTTTATCGGTATAAAAATTAACTTTTTACTATATATTATAATAAATAGGTAAACAAAATTATTTCGTTATAACCAGAAATCATTATAAAAAATATTGTTATAAAGAGATTTGATTATATCAAGTTATATTTGAAAAACAAGTATATTAATTATAGTTATAACTTGAATGACAATTTGTATATAGTGGCTGCAATGCCTTTATGTAATTAGATAATATAATTTCTTAGATAGTTAAATATTATTCAAGATATAATATAGGTTTTGAATTTTTTTTCTATATTATTGGATGATATTAAGAATTTTAAGTAAATAGATCACAATTCTGAGTCTTGTATTAAACTTTTTTTAGCAAAGAAAGATATATACTATATTATAGATTATAAATCTTGTAGCTGCAAGTTTAAAATTATAATAAAAATAATATATAGGGATTGCTTGTTTCTTCAAATAATAATAATAATATTATTATTATTATATAACAAAACCATATTAATAATTTTTTAATCAAACTATTTTCCATATCAAAATTATAATTATATAAAAATAGTTGAACTTTCATATGTTTTATTTAGTTTTTAAACAGTTATTATATAATTTTTAAATAATAATATTAAAATTGAATCATTGATTTTTTACAAAATATAATAGTTATTATAGTTTTACAGATTCAAATAGCATTAATAAAATTAAATTTTCTAAAAGTTTTTTTTTATCATTAACAAAAATTTTATTATTTATTTTAATTTAATTATTTATAAATAGATATTAATTATTTATAAATAGATATTAATTATTCTATATAATTTTTAATATAAATCTATTTACATGACATAAGTTGATATCAATAGTTACATTGCAATAGGCTATAAGTAATCTGTATTTTAATTCAATGTATCAACTTGTTGATATAATGGTAGTAAATATATGTTTAATAAAGCATTTTATTTAATACTTATTTGTAGTAATATATATATATATATTCTTTTAAAATTTTATAATAGCTTAAGTAAAAAAAATATTTTTATAATAATTAAAAAAATCCTATTTTTTTATAAACAGAATTTCAGTTATTTAGAAATACAATTATTTAGTAATACAAAGATACAGTTTAATTAAAGAATGCTTAAATAGTATCAAAAAT